GATCATGTACAACATCTCACTGAAGTTACAAAACTACTACCTACATGTAGGCATCAGGCGGTCCATCATTCCCTGGATATGTGCCTGCCAGTCGAACCAACAACAGCGCATAAAGTAGTACCAAAGGATCGTATCCAACTGGGAGACGCTTTCCTGTGGTGTTCCGCAGGGGACCAAATTGGGTCCCATCGTGTTTCTGGCGCTGTAACAACCTCCCATCACCAGCGATGGGAGGTTCAGCTGAAGCATGGAAAAATATGTCGATGACATGACCCTGTCTGAAGCAAGACACAACGCACAACCTACCACGTTACAAGAGGACAGTCTTGTAGAATGGACTGATGTCAACTATTTGGAACTCAATCTGCCTAAGGGTAAAGCCATGATGATACCCTTCATGCAAAACCCCCCACCCTCACCTGCACTGACTATCAAAACATCAGCACTTGAGGTAGTTGGGGTTGCGAAAATCCTTGGGGATGATTCTTCAAAATTCTTAAGCCAATCTTAAGTGGGACAGTCACGTCAAATCATCATCACCAAAGCCAATACTAGACTGTACATGGTATGAACTCTTAAGAAACATGGACTTGACACTGGTTTTCTGTGGGTTGGTACGACCCCTGATGGAGTACATTTGTATGTACATGTATGTCGTGTGTGTCACCCAGGCCTCACTGCTGCCCAGTCCAAGTCTATAGAATCAGTCCAAAAGAGAGCCTGCAAAGTCATAGGTCAGAACTATGTAAACTATGATTTAGCGTTAAGCCAACTATCTCTGACCACACTGTACCGCATCAAGCTAAAATTCGCATTTCTGTAGCAAAATCACCCACTTACGCTAGCTATACATTTGTATATAGCTGGCTACCTCCCAGATGTGAGGATATGCATGGTAGAGCGCTGAGGTCTAAAAACAAAATCTTGCAAGTCAGGCGCCGAACGTCTAGGTTTAGAAACAGCAAGATACCGTTCCTGCTTCTGAATGGCTAGCCTCGCGGGCTCTTCTGTACGTATATATTCGTGGTAACTATTTGTAGATAACACAATGACAAAATCTTTTAATTGTCAAATATGGCCCAATTCAGTGATTGTAGCTGCAATGGCATATTATTTCTTGTTCTATTATTGAAATAACCCTGTTATTCAATGTTATTCAATCTGCCTGGTGCAGGTAATTATGACCTTACTGTTATCTGCACCAGTGAATGTACACACAACTGTACAAATTGTATGCTGACATGGTAGGTTGAGGCCTCTGATGGGTCTGTGCTGCAACATACGCAGTTTGAAAATAATTTAATGAGGTTTGTAGAACATAGAATATTTTGGTTTTCTTTAATTTACACAACCAGTAATATCTCTTCCCTGCTTTAATATGTTTCAATGGCTGGTTTCAGACATCTTCCTCAGAGTTTCTGACGGGCGTACTGCTTTTCCCCATTATACATGTCATGTACATGTACATGTACATGTACAAATGTATGTAGCTGATATACATATATGCATGTAGGTGGCTCTTAGCCACATTTGGGATGGTGTTCCTGCTGCAAAAGCAAAACTTATATCAGCTACATGTACATATACATATAGCAGCAAGAAGCAGTTTTCCAGCTCTGAGGAAGATGCCTGATACACATGGAAACATAAGCAAGGGAGAGATATTTATTGGTTGTGGAAAAGAAAACCCCAATATTCAACATACACAACAACATGACCTTTTCTGTTGTTACAAATCTTAATAATATGTTACTTTCATCAAGGGAATTCCGTCAGGACTTGAGCGGCCATGGTTGTGATGTATGGCCAATAATGTTTCCAATTTGCTGAGACAAATTCCCACCTGGCAATGAAATGCAGGTTAAGGCTGATGGATTGTGCTGGGACGACCTTTCTGTGCGTCACCATGACAGCTGTAAAGACAATGTCAGCAAAGAATTACGAGCCGCGCGGAGAGAACGCGCTGTTTTTTCCGTTAGCTTACTGAAACTCCCCATGAATTTCTGAATTCCTCATGAATCGTGGAGTTCACTGCTCAACTGGAGGGCCAAGATTACTGAAAGTGTTCTGACCTTCACTGAAGATGACAAATGGAATGTCAACTTGAAGTAATACCAGAATGCTGAAGGGAAAAAGTATCAGTACCAGCAAGCTTTAACTGCAAGGTAAAAATCAATAGATGAGATAAACTAAAAAAAATGTCACTGAATTTCATGAGGTAAAAGTTGCAGTACATGTACTTGGTTATGACCATGCTCAAATAGGGCAGCATAACTTACCCTTTGCTTGTGATCTGTAGTCTGAAATCAAACTGTGGTCAATTTGTGGTCATTCGTAATTCTGCTGGCTTAAGGATCCTTTGAAGACGTTGTGGTTTAGATCTAGGTTCAAATTTCTCAGGGCATATACAGAGAATAACTCGAAGAGAGGAATAACAAGTACTGCAAAGCTACTAGTAACTACAAGATGGTCCAACTGGTCACCCGCATTTGAGGTACAATATAGACTGTGATGATGACAAGAGAGACATCAAGTCAGCAAACATTGACATAAACTCAAGAGACTGTCACTCAAAAGAAGGCTTGTTCAGCCATCAAAGGAGATGTCAGAGCCGCCATGATGGGAGCAGGCCAATGAAGATAAAACAGAATGACTACTGTAACGGTTACTCTAACTGCAAAACTGAAACAGTACAAAAGGAAAACATCCCAGCAACTGCAAAAATACCACTGTGACTACTGTGCAATGGAATTATTGCAGCATTTTTCAAAACAATAATGCCTTAAAGTTAACATATGGTAAATACATGTAGGTTAGATGTCTACAGTATGTAGTTGATTACGTTAACTCGGAGCCATAAATGTTGAAGCACACAAGACTGGATGACCTGATTTTCTGTGAGAGATTGTCAGGACCGAATGTTATCATTGTACATGTATAATTTGTCACACAGTAATGCCTGTCACAGCCCGAGCCATTAACTGTCTTGAATAACGCCAATTAAGGAAACAAGAACTTTGCAATTGCTCCTAATTTATTGCCTGTGTCAAACAAGACTCCTGCTTTCTGATGAAGTAAGTACATTGTATCAGCATGCAGTTTTACAGTTCCCACACCATATTATAAAGCTGTACATTTTGCTAGGCTGTACCATGCCCAGGAGAATAGCAACTTGGCCATACGAAATTTCTGTATTTTTGTCTTTTGATCAATTAACATTTCACTTTTTCACCAGTTATGCATTAAAAATGCTGACACCTTAGCTTTAAAATCAAATATTTTAACTTAATGTCACAATTCTCCTGATGTACATCTGCAAGGCTGAAACATATTTTTTTAATATCTAAATGCTGCTTCATGTCTGCTTAAATCAAGGACTTCTACAAAATGTCCTTAAATGCTTAGATTCATAAAATTTAAAATGCTGTTGTTTTCCCGTCCAAGTCGTAACTTTATGGTCGCCCTAATTCTGGCACTTTTCATCCAAAATCAAAATCTCCACTAACTTTTCTTGTAATTATCACACATGGTCAGTCCTGGCTCATAATGACCACATATATTACAAAGTACTTAGTATAACTTTTAAAAATTTATACATTGTAACTATTGTGCACTATATAATATACACACTCCAACTTGGCACCTACGGCACCTGAGACACTATTTGGATTTGAACAGTTTAAAAGTGTGTTGGTAATTTACGGAACTTAACCCAAGAACCAACAAATTGAATTGGTGTGGCCAAACCTACTTAGATGATACAAACTGGACATCTTGTTTTATGGCCCTGCCAGTAACGGCTGCACTAACAGATGAGGAGGGTCTACAGAGAGGTTTTAATTACAGTCCTTGCTCTGCCTAATGGCTAGCAATACTTTTGGAAAATAAATCCCTCTATCTAATTATCAAGATTGAACAGTTTTGCTCCTATTTCAGTAGAGTTAGGGTTGCTCCGGGGGAAACAGGAGAACTGGAGTGCTGCCGGCAGCGAGTACAGCGCACTTAGCATGCTGATGAAGACATAATGGTACCTTAATGTCTGCGCTCTAAGACATCTTAAGCTAGAAACTTATGCCTCCACTGAAGGATTGTGAGGAGATATGGTGAAAAAAAGATGCCAAGAATGATCTGAAGAGTAAAGAACCCAACACAGACACAAGTGCATTTGGGACAGGGAATGTCACTCCTTGGTTATGAAGAACAGCTCGGTTTATTTGCGAAAATCGCAAATAAACCAGGTCTTACAACTGTCACAAACTTTTGAGCAGATTGGTACTTAGACAAGTAATGTTACGTCTGTACTGAAGCAGCTCTAATGGTGTCAGATGGTCTCTCTTGCTATCTACAGATGCCGTACTAAGCTTCTCTTGCTTATTTTGCACATCTCTTAAGTAGGACTTTCCTTTACCATTTGTAACAATTTCAGGAAGTACAAATCTGTAACAATTTAGCTCACAATGACCTTTAAGCCCTAGTCACATCTATCGTGCAATGCACCTACAATGACTTTCTTTCCAAAATGATATTCTACAATGTATGCCATGATCATTGTATTGTGCATTAGGCCATGTTGATTTGATATGGATGACATCCGCGCGCGCATGAATTTTCGGCCATTTCCAAAAAAAAAAAAAGTTTTCAACCATACTGTAAATCGTACAAAACAGTTGCAAAATGAGCAAAAATATACTATAAATTACAAAAAAAATTAATAACAACTATACCAATGTCGTAGAATGCCAAAATCAAATGAAAAAAGACGAAATTGTAAAGAAATGAACTTGAAGACTAGATTATTCGCCAAACCATATTCTGTGCCATTTGCTCAACCCTCATGACCACGTAGATTTCATAATGAAAAGAACTTTTTTTTTGCACAACTTTTTTTTTTATTCGCACGCGTGCATCAGTTTTGGGGCTCCAGAGGATGTCATCCATATAATCAAATCAACATGGCCTTATAGCTAATAAAAGATGTACATGTATGTAACAGGGGCTTTACTTGAAAACACAGGTCACACTTCTGTGGTCTAGCAGTGAACTCAGTTTCACCTTAGTTCCTTGTCCTTGACATAGGGCCAAACCTCCAGGATGAAACAGACACCCAATATGTCTGGCTTTGTCATTTCTTGCTCCACCAATTACAGCGAGGCTATCAAAGTCTGATGGATGATCTCAGGCACAGCAGACTTACTGTGCTCCACCTGGGCCAAGGACTGAAACTTAACACCAGCGACATAAAACACTTCAATGTGCAGTTGAACAGAATCATAGAGAATCCGATTGCACTGTTTCTAACATCTGTGTCCATAATATCACCAGGGTCCATAATACCGCCACCTTGAGAAATAGTGTGCTTTAAGATACTTTTACTGCAACATATAGAATACAACACGGGGTATTCCGTATCGCCCGAGGTTTCGGCCCGGCCCGACGGCCGCAGGCCGGAGGGCGATCCGACTCGCGGGAGGGCCGGGACCGAGGGTTCCGGATTCTGTATTCGAATTTTCGAAAGGGGCACAAGCGGGTAGAGCGAAACGCGTTCGAATCGTTTTATGGAAGCCATGGAAGCGTTTGATAACGGGTTCTGGACCGGGGCCCATACCCGTTAA